ATGTATATAAATTTACATATAAACACAATAATATTATGATAACAGAAATAATGATAATAAACAAAAGATATGAATATCAAGTACAGGAAAACCTAAAACCAAGGGAAAAAAAAAGTTTTAATGATAAATAAACTTTTAGTAACTCATGACTTTCAGACTCCACATCATCGTCATGTTGTAAATATTGATTCTAACCATAACCATATACTAACACTTCAAGAATGTCACTTTCCCTCAGATATTGAAAGAAAAATAAAAAAAATAATCAATATACAGAAAAAAAAATTCTTCAGCTTACATACAAGAAATAAAAATAATTTTTAAAAAAGTCTCGGTAACAGAAATCCAAATACACCTTTGACTTTAACACACCTCAATAACCAAATTCTCAGCAGATTTCCCGTGACAATCCTTATTACGCCCTGGGTCTCCGTTGTCCGCTCTGATGTATGAGTTCAAGTGTTCCAAGCTTTTGCGTCTCTTAACTGCCTAAAAATCAAAAGTATTGTTGGTGCCAGTTTAAGTAATGATGATGATCATGGTGATGATAATAGTGATAGTGACATCTGTAATTCATGATGATAACATTAATAATAAAGATATAAGAAACTGTAACAAAAAATTCATATCATTCAAGCACTAACACACATCTACATTCTATTCATACTATAAAGTCAAGACATTACATGCTTTATAGCTTTGCTTGCTTGTATGCCTTTTTTTGTATAAATGCATCTCTGTGATATATGAAGAACAAACAGAAAAAATGAAAAAAGAAGAGAAGTGGTACAGATAAAGTTGACTTTGAATAATAATAAAAAGAAAAAAGATAAAGCAGAATAATGATAATAATATCAAAGAGATATAGTAAAAGAACAAGACAAAAATGAAGAACAAAATTAGCAATAATAATGAAAGGCCAATAAGAAGGTGAGAGGAAAAGACAAAAAAGAAAGTGTAATACAAACATTATAAATAAAATAAAGAAGGCTACACTAAACGAAACAAGAAAATAAAGAGAAATGAGGAAAGGATGAAGAAAACAGAGATTCCTTCTAACCTTGAATATAACATGACCTCCATTTCCTCCATCCCCACCATCTGGCCCTGCACGCTCTTTCTTGTACACACTCAGGAGAGATATACAACCATCTCCTCCGTTCCCACCTAGGACTCGGACACGACGGAAGTCCACAAAGTGATGAACCTGCAGAACAACATCAATAAACTCTTTAAGCAGTAAGAATGGTGATCACAATACAGAAAAAAGAGTAAAACTACAAAGAGCAATGAATACTGTGCACTTGCTGATCCATTTTTATACCTAAGAGTCCCTGTTTACTGTGTTTTTGGTGTTGGCAGTTCTATCCTTGAATGCTCTTCCTAACATCTACCACAGCCCAGTTTGGGTACACAAATGCAAGACACATCTTACCAATCCATAGTGGTGTCAATAAGAATACTGTAAATTACTTAGTGTATGTAATTCAGATTACTTTAGTTATTTCATTATAGACACAACCACATCATATACATCAACATGTTTACATACATGCAAAAGTAAATACACACATCTATACACACACTTCTGAAGATATGATAAAGACAATCATCTTTATGACCTGCAGTGGTATGGAGACCCTAATTAAAGGACATAGATTAAGTGGAATAAGTCTGAAGAGCAGCCACAAGATGGATGCCAACTTAAAAGGATAGGCCTTATAAAGAAAGACTAGAGAAAATCACTCTATGGAACTGGAGGAAAAAAGAATGCATGTTGACATAGTTATACTCTACAGTTATAACTCAGGGACAGTGAATTCTAATATGGTTAAATTTATATTTAGGGAAAGAGGAACAAGAGTGGATCCATTCAAAAAGTAATACACACATATACATAAACACAAAGACAAAGACAGAGCGACAGTCAGATACAGACACACACCTACATATATCTTTATATTCTTTTCTTTAAAAAAAATATCCTCAACACAAACTCACCTTTGTAGCCTCAGACTTGCTTTTACTGCTCTTTAGTGGTACATACTTGTCCTCTAGATTAACATGTGGTTGTTTGCTCAATTTCCTTAAAAAATCTTGAGCCAAGACTTTCCACTCTTTGTCACCACTAGCAGATGACCAATCTGTTTCCTTGGGACTTGCAGCTGTACTAGCAGGCACAGGATCAGCTGGCCTTGTGTAATTAACTGAAGAGCAGGACCTGATCTGCTGCTTCACTAGACTGTGGACTTCCCGAAGACGTGTCCAGCTAAAAAGTCTTCCCGGAAGAACACAATGCAGGGCCACTGATGCCATTCCAGACACTTCTCAATGCATAATATGTTTTCTTCAAAAAATCTGTGAAAAAGAAGAAAGTTGTGGTTACATGATGATGGCTGGAAGATGGGGAAAGCTCAAAATGTTTACTAATTTATTTGATTATTATTACATAAAACATATAAAATCACAAAAAAAAACTACTTTAAAACAGAAACTACAT